CATTAATAATCTCTAGCATAACTTGATAGCAGACAATAACCCATATGTCCTTCTCCTTGCTCATTGCTGTTCATCGAATTAGCAACATTTACATCCTAACGTTCAGCTTGATTGTTGTTCAGCTTGCAAAAATTTCCAGAGATCTGATCTGGTATGGGTAGGGCTCATTAATTTGTTTAATTAGTTCACCTCTCTCACTAGCTATGGAGCTTAACAAATTAAAAAAAAAAAAAAACAAAGGAAAAAACCAATGAACCTGGACTTTTGAACACTAGGTATGGATAAGTGTGCAATTATTTTTTTAAAAAAACCCTGCAGCTACTTCTTAGATGAGTATCTCATAAACATTAAGCACAGATATTTGGTTGACAGGACTTCCGCCTAGATTAGCTCTTTATTTTCTTTTGTGTTCAGACAGTTTAGAGATGTGTAGGCAATGAGGTCTCCACAGAATAAATAGAGGTTGAGAGAATAATGCTGCAGCTTAGGTAAACTGAACTGACAATAGCTTATGTTTAACTGCCTGTAGCTAGCAATGCAGAAAACAGGCAGCAGTGGTTTAGATGATCACCACAAATAAAAGTGAAATTATGGAAAAATAATAAATATCTGTAGCTAAAAGGAGCAAAATGTACATAGCTCAGCAGTACAGTGATGAAAATTGGCTCTCACCCAAGAGTCATGCCAGTCTTGAAGGACAAGAATGTCTTGGGACCTGACCAGAGCAAGCATAGATAAGCTATTGTCTTTGTCCCTCAGCTGACCAGCCAGCTGGCAAAGGCACACAGCCGCCGTTCCCCAGCTGCCAGCCCTCCATGGACCGAGCGGTGCTGCTCCTCAGCAAGGATCTGGCAAACAAGACACATACAGCCGGGGTGCAGGTCAAGAACTGGAGCACCGCGGTGGAGTACACACTCCAGAAAGAAAATGGCTTCAAGGACACTCTAATCCTGCACACAGACGTGTATTTAGAAAAAAAAAAAAAAAAAAAAGTGCTTTTCTCAGTGAATGATGGACCTGAAGACTGTTGTGTCTGCAAGTGCAGGTAAAGCAACTGGGGAATTAAACCAAGCTTTGTTCTCACACAGTCACAGTAGTCACACACTATATTTGTGTTCTAAATATGTTATTTCCACACTTTCCCTTAAATAATGCTCCTTGAAAAAAATGACAATATGATTAGCAAAAGACATTTTGCTTATGTAGATACATAGAGCCTGAAGGTCTTTAAAGAAGAAAGAATACCAGACAGAAAATTTAGATGGAGAGAATACACCAATATGGAAACAGATAGGACATATCTTCTACCTTTTTTTTTAGTGGTTGAGAGTCGTGTCACACCTATAAAACCATTTTCCAAATAACTACAGAACTGAGGAGCTGTGGGGATAAGATCATATAGTATTGCAGTGGGGGCTGCTGGCTTTCTCAGTAATGAAGGCCATGAATCTCCATTATTGTTCTTCAGCCTGCTTGAAACTTCAGCAAACCTTATCCATGCCAAGTGTCTGCCTCAGGCTGAAAACCTCTAAAACTTGTCCGAAAGATCTGTTCAGACATTTCTCAAGAATAAATTAGAGTGGAAAAAATTACTGCCCAAGTCAAGGAGAAAAGCCTTTCTTTTGACTGGAAAGGTTTGAACTCCTATGCGCAGCAGGAGGATCTTGAAAACTGACACAGAGGTAGCTCAGGAGCAGCACAAATCAACCTTTGCATATCCACAAAAAAAATGGTCAGGGGCCTCTTAGACACCTCAGTTCAAACATTAATTTTAGCAACTGCTAGTTAAAATCATCTGTAAGAAAGACACATAGTTACAATCTAAATTTCACCATAATCTCCACAATAAATCAGACTGAAACCATTATTTACTTTGGTCATAATATGACCTGCTCTTCTGCATGAGCTCATGGTGTGTTTAAGGCACAGAATAGCACTGATGCCAACACAAAATACAGTAAGTATAGTTAGTTTCTTTCAAAATCTTTGTCAGAGAAGCTTGCTTTTTTGAATGGGAATAGAGAAAGGAAAGTACATCTTCATCTCTCCTTGTTGTAGCTGTGAAACAGTGCAGCAAAGAATGTAGTGGAATGCATCTACATTTTCAGTTGAACCTCTGATCACAGAATCACAGAATCACAGAATAGTAGGGGTTGGAAGGGACCTCTGTGGGTCATCTAGTCCAACCCCC